CACTGAGTTCAAAGATAACAAGTGTATAGCTCTAGCTGTATGTCACTTGTCGATTTGGGGAAGCATCCATAAACAGATTGGAACAGTAAAGGTTGCCAACTGTGGCTTTTGTGCCAGAAGATCATAATTGAAGTCCTTCCCAGAGGCTTGAGCACATGATCTAGGCTGATACTTCAACAGAGTACTGTGACATTGAAAGTGAACACCACTATAGGCCTAGAGGTTGTTTTCTCATTAAACAAGGATAACTGGTGGCGATTTTAATCTGAAGGTCACCACCTCAAGCAAGGTTGAGAAGGTAGGATTTTCATGGTGACTGCAACTGGTACAGCAATTGAACCTCTGCTGCTAGTATCACTCTGTATTGCATTATAGTTTGTGCCAAAATTATGAAAATGGTCCACAGACGAGTCAGCAGCAGTCACATCCATGGAATGTCCCAGACGGTGTCATCAACATGCTGGGTATGTGCTGTCCATCAACAGGACAGAATGGTAGCATGGCAGTCTAATCGGATGGCATTGTCCTACAAGTCTTCAACATTGACTTATGCCATCAGGCAAACATGAGTGAGGAAACACCCTGTTAATTACAAATGAATGCTCTTGTCCCTCAGCTAATGAACAGTTGCTTCCATGTTCAACCTTTCAAGGATGCACTGAGGATTTCAAGAGCACAACATGTTCTCGGGGTGGGAAGACTTCAGTAACTAACAGCAGTTCAGCAGCAGCACTAAAGACTGGGCTCACTGAGTTTTGGAGGACATATCTGCTCGGTTGGGTGTATAGCAGGTCGTGAGAGAACTAACAAGTAGGCAAATACTTACTTCACTTTGTCCTTATCAATGTAGGTATTGCAGATGCATCTGTCTGCAGCGGCATCAATAGGCGTGGACATCACACTCACATTGTGGAGAAGAAATCTTCTCTTCATTTTGAGGATACCTTCTGTCTTGTGGTGTGGCACTATGGCTGCGCTAAATGGGGTAGATCTCAATGTGATCTGGCAAATCAAGCCTTGGCATCTATAAGGTGCTGTGGACATCAGCAGCTGAACTGCATTCAAGTTCAATCTATAGTCTCATGGCCCATCATATGCCCCCTCTACCATTATCATCAAGTTGGGAGTGATGAACAACTAAACAAATAACAGGAGGAGTTCTGTGAATTTCCCTATCATCAACAATGGGGGAAATGCCCGCCCATTCATATTCAGCCAGAAGCGTTGAGTGGATGATCCATCTTAGTCTCCTCTGGAATTTCCTAACATCACAGATAGCAGCCTTCTGCTAGTTTGAATCATTCTGGGTGAGATAAAAAAAAACAGATAAAAGCACAGGATACTGAAAAAGCTAAGGGCTCTCATAATCTTCCAGCAATAGTAATGAAGATATATGCTCCAGAAGTAGCTGTGCCTTTAGCCAAGCTGTTCAAATATGACTGCAGAACTATATCTATACAACATTATGGAAAATTGCTGTACTAAGAACTGTCCATAAAAAGCAGAATGAATCAAACCCATCAATTTCTGCCCTATCAGTCTATTCCATACTTACAGTGTAGTGATAGATCAGGCCATCAAATGTGCTATCATGTAACACTTACAAATGAATAATCCGCTCAATGATGCTCAGTTTGGTTTTGCCATGGCCACTTAGCTTCTGACCTCAATACAGGCTTGGATCTGGACAAAACATGAACAAGAGAGTTGAATTCCAATGATGAAATGACTTTCATCTTAAGGAACAGTTAGCTGAGTATGGCACCAAGGAAGTATGGAGTCTATGGGAGTGAATTGGAAAATTCTGTGCTGGTTGGCATCATGCCAGCACAATGGAAGCTGTTTGGGGATTTTTGGAGGTCATTTGTCTCAGTCCAAGGATGTCTCTGCATGACTTCCTCAAGGTAGTGTCCTAGGCCCAACCATCTTCAGCTATTTCATCAATGACCTTCCCTCCTTCATCAGTTCAGCTGTGGAGAGGTTCACTGATAATTACACACTGTTCAGCACCATTTGTGGCCCCTCAGATACTGATGAAGTCCATCGCCCCAAGCAACAAGACCTGGACAACATCTAGACTTGGGCTAATGAGTTGAAAGTAACATTTGAACCATACAAGTGCCATGAAAAGGCCATTTCTAACAGGAGAGAATCTAGACATTGCCTTTTGACATGTAATGTCATTATTATTACTGCACCTTGCAATATCCACACTCTGGGAGCAGCGTTCCTCGACTTTTCTTTCCAACTCCATGGACCATTAAACTCCATGACCAACAGTGACTTCCAGAGCTGGAAGCCAGTGCCACAGGTGATGTGCTGACATGCTGATCGCCATGCAAGGAACTTTGGAGCGGCTACACACGCATAGCCACGGAACTTAGAGGCATCATTGTCTGGGAATTACCACTGAACAAAAACTGAACTGTACCAGGTATGTTAATGTTCTGGTGACAGGAGCATATCAAAGGCTAGGAATCCTACAGAGTCACTCACCTCTTGTCTCTCCACTTTTTGTCCACCATCTACAAGGCACAAATCAGGAGTGAGATGGCATACTCTCCTCTTGTCTAGATGGGTGCGGCTTCAACACTAAAGAAAGTTGACCACATTGAGGACAAAACAGCCTACTTGACCCATCCACCAAATTTAACCACGACTTTTCCAATAGCACACAATGGCAGCAATGTGTATCATCAACAGGATTCACTGCGTTGACTCACCAAGCCTCTTTCTCTGATACTTTTCAAACACATGACCCCAGCTCTAAGAAAGACAAGGGCAACATAAGCATGGGAACACACAACCTTCTAATTTCCCAACAAGCCACAAACCATCTTGACATGAAACTATATTGCTGTTCCTACGCTGTTGCTATGTCAACAGTCTTGGAATTCCCTTCCTAAGAGTATTGTGGGTGTCACTGCAGTGATTCAAAAAGATAACTTACCATAACCCTCTCAAGGGCAACTAGTGATGGGCAATAAATGCTGAGCTGGCTAGTAATAACCACATGCCTTTGAATAAATAAAAAAATGCCTGGCAAATAGGTCAGTCATGCTTTTCTTTTCATTTACCACTAGAAATTGTAGTTTGCAATCCAATATGTCCAATCTTGAGGTTATAAAATTCTTCAAAACGCTTGTTCTATCTATATGATAAAAGATGTCCAAATCCAGAGTCTTCATTAATTTCTGCCCTGTTTGCTTAAACATACGATTATGAAGACATACTCTAGCTGATAATAAATCCATATTCAATAACAATTACTTCAGAGCAAGAAAACTTATGGTCTAAAGAATTTTGTACTTTGATTTATTAATTCATGTTCATGGATCAACAGCAAAGATTGAAAAACCATTAAAAATGGAACATTTTGCCCTCTTGTTGGGTCACTAGTGGGATTTTCGTTAAGTCACCAATGGATTTCTCACAGTATTAGTTATAGGGATCCAGGAGATAAAAATACTTCTTAATGTTGAACAGATATGTTACAGCCATTTTTCTATAGTTGCAATGTAAAGTGCTAAGCAGATGGGGACTAGGTGCCTTTAGATTATAACAAATTTCTTGAGGGTACTGTTGCTGAGGTCAGACGATTGGAGAGCGTCCTATCATAGCCTTGGGTTTGTGCCTTGTGGACAATGGAGCATTTTTGTGGCATTGGAAGGTGAAACAATTCCTGCAAAAGTCCAATCTTTATCATTTGATCTGTTTTACTTGTCCTGCCTTTTATGTGGCTGAACAAAGTTTATGGTGAAGCAAGAACAGAAAACATTGGAAAAACTCAGCAGGTCAGGCAGCATTTCTAGGGAGAAACAACATTAACATTGCAGGTGGATGGCCTTGCATCAATTCTGATAATGAAGGAGCCCAAGAGCTCCTACTCCCCCATGGAAAGTGGATGCATCTATTAGGGACCGTCGAAAAATCCCATTTCCCTGCGCCAATGTGGTTGACAGAAACCCTCCCTAGCTCTGTATGTGGTTATGGGGGTGCTGCTGGGCATAGTGAGTATCTGAAAATCAACCTGGTGGGAGTGTAGGTCTGGACAGGAATCCATTTGATTCCCCCAATCACTACTCAGCTCCAGTGCCTCTGTGTGCCAGTTCAAAAAGAGGGCTGCACCACACACCATTTCCATTGAACACTCTTTAGGGTGGAAAGGCCTCTTTAAGGATACCCTGAGAAATGCAACTTCTGGACGTTTGGATTCCTGACCATTTTAGCTGGTGGCTGCTGTGCAGAGTTCGCTGTCAACCTCAGGATGAGAAACCAACAGATAAGCACTGGTGATCAATATTCACACATTCATTTGCTTCTGACGCATACAAGTGTAACTAGTGCTTGACGAAGTATTTGTATTCCAGGTTGCAGGAACAGCAACTCATATTCCGCTTGGGAACCCTGCAGCCCAATGGTATCAATGTGGATTTCACGAGCTTCAAAATCTCCCGTCCCCCTACCGCATCCCGAAACCAGCCCAGTTCGTCCCCGCCTCCCTAACCTGTTCTTCCTCCCACCTATCCCCTCCTCCCACCTCAAGCCCCATCCCCATCTCCTACCGACCAACCTCATCCCGCCCCCTTGACCTGTCCGTCCTCCCTGGACTGACCTATCCCCTTCCTAACTCCCCACCTACACTCACCTTTACTGGCCCCATCCCCGCTTCTTCGACCTGTCTGTGTCCTCTCCACCTATCCTCTCCTCTATCCATCTTCTATCCGCCTCCCCTCTCTCCCTATTTATTTCAGAACCCCCTTCCCCTCCCCCATTTCTGATGAAGGGTCTAGGCCTGAAACGTCAGCCTTTCTGTTCCTCTGATGTTGCTTGGCCTGCTGTGTTCATCCAGCTCTACACCTTGTTATCTCGGATTCTCCAGCATCTGCAGTACCTACTATCTCTATTTGTATTCCAGGTTGCTTTATAATGAAACAGAAATTCTGGTTAACAGTGGTCGGAGAGGGGTTGGCAGGAGCAGAGTCCAAAAATGGAAGTGTTGAGACGAACAATACCAGTAGTTGTTTAGTGTGGGAGGAAGTTGATTATGATGACAAGACTTAAATGAGATCGACGCATCCACCGCAGAAATGCCAGCAGATACAATCGACATTTACTGAGGGCTTTTGTCAACTTTGGTCAGGACGGATATAGTGGACAGTCGACACTGGCGACATAACATAAGGTGAAGTGATCTTTCATGCTGTTACAATAGATTAGGACGTGGCTATTTTGGTAAAGCAGTATGAATTATCGATGTTTTGGTATGGTTTAGATACAGTGAGTTTAGTCTTCGTGGATAGAGTCACTGCTGCTCGTCTTTGTTTTCGTTCGCAAGATTCAATAAACCCTTGAAAACCTGCTTTACTGCCACTTGCTTTTCTTTCTTTCACTTATGGATGTATTTGTTTTTGCTTTTCGAACGTCTGAACCTGTTGGATTCTCGATGAAAGGAAATTTTCATTAAACGTCACGTTCAAAAACAGTAGAGTGTATGCGTGTGAGTGTGTGTTGAGGAGAAATGTCTGAATTTGGGTTACGGAGTGTTTGTGTACGAGTGTGTGTGTGTGTGTCTGTTAGTGTATGCATGCGTTTGTTTGTCTCTGTGTGTTTGTCTGAGTGTTTTTAACGGACCAGTTTACCTGTCTTTCACAAGTTAGACTCATTGCCATAGAAAATGTTTGCCACGGTTTTTAATCATTTGCTTACAAACGTTCAGAGTTCTGATGACTCAGGGTATAAACTGAAACTCTTTCGCTTTCTATTAGATACTGTCAGAGCAGCTGCCTCTCCAGCATTTCCCTTTTTCACATATATGTGTATATATCTTGCAATATTTGTTTCTCTTGGAGACAGAGGATATTCACTGGAACTTTGTGTCTTACTGATATTGGGGTTAACTTCTGGTTTCAGCATAGTCCTCCTCCTTCACCTTCCTGTTTTTGAGTTGGGCCATCGTTGAGGTTAACACTGACCCACCACTCACTCCTCTAGCCTTCCAATCTCTCTGAAGGGAAAATAAAGAAGAAAAAAAGCGAGGCAACTTAATAAGGGATGAGGAAAGCTCTGGAAAATTCCTCCCCCACCCTTATCAGATACGGGGGCAGGGGAGGGAGATTTGGGAGGGGAACGAAAACCCATCGACAGATACATAATGTCCCGTCGGTCCTCATTACCCAGGACTATTAGAGGTGGCCTATTCTCCAACCATGCCAGACTGGGCCAGTGCTAAGTATCAGCAAGTGACCCAGACTTCCAGAGTCAGAGGTCTTGAGAGCAGATAAACACAGGGCAAAGGAGAGAGATGGAGGACCATTCGGATCAGCGGTGATTTCAAATAAGTTTGTTGGAAAATGGTTCATCACATCATGCTTTCTTTACCGGCAGTGGTTCTAATGAATTTAAACACAATAAAAGTCAAAATAGGACTTAGACCATTCAACTTCTGAAGCCTGTTCCACAATCTCATTGGAAATTATCCATGTCTTAACTTCATCAATTGTAATCCATACAGACTCTATTACCCTTAATATGCTTTACTAACAAAAACCTATCAATCATAGACTTGAAATCTTGAATTAGGTCTTGAAGAGAATGCAGCATCAACCAGATTGATGCCTGGCCTCCATGGGTTAAATGATGAGGAAAGGGTACACAAACTAGGCTTGTATTCCCTGCAATTTAAAAGATTAAGGGTGATTTGATCCCATTTTGAAAAGCATTAAGGGTAACAGATAGGATAGAAATGTTTCCCTCTGATATTATAACAGCAACATTAACTTCATTAGTTTAAACAATTGAAATCAAAGGGGAATTATATATTTATATTTAATGCCCCATGATGTAATTTGGAACCTTATGAGCATCAATTAAAAATATGAAAGAATCTATTTCCCACCAGGAAGTATATAATAAAATAATCATAGTTTCTTTTCTCAGCAACATCCAATCTGTGTTTCTATAAGTAGTCTGTTATTTTAACAATGATAATTAGTAATTAATTTGGTTAAAAAATCTTATACTGTTAAAACATGATTGTGATGAGCACTCAAATGTATTTTTTATATTCATTAATTAAGTATTATTCTGTTCATTAGGAATTACGTTTGAATTATCCACACTTTCTTTTAAACTCCAAAACTTATTTATCAACTTAATCCAAAAGTTAGCACCTTTTTTTTCTCCTAGATCATATGGAGATATTTTCAAACACAACTGTAGTCTTAAGTATCAGATCCAAGTTGACACTGATTCATTGCTGATTTTTCTCCCAGATGAATAGTTACGCCAATGTCATGTGTACGACCTTCGCTGAACACAACCTATCCTACGTTCCTATTTGGAATCTATGGCAATCTGTAAGTATGCATGTCTCAGACCATTGTAAAAACATATCTGTTCAGATTGCAACTCTAGCACAAATGTGAAGACTACTCTACTCAGAGCATAATGGAGCTATCTATGCATGTGCAGAAAACAATGTAAATACGTGCATGTAGATTTCCTTTGTGCAGAATACTCAAGAATAGTAGCTCCCAATCTTAACTAATAATGGCATTGCAATAGACTATAGAAACAAACTGTTTCCAACAGTAATTACACAGAATTAATATTATGTGTATTATACAAATATTTTAAACAGGTTGTTTAAAGTCCCAAGAAAAGGATGGCTACTTACTATTTTCCAAAAGTGTTGTGTTCTATTGTGATTATTTTTTGCCCAACCACTATAGCCAATGGTAAGTCTTACTACTGCATACTTTCTGCTATATTCAGTATTTCACCGATATGTGCCTTTACCATAAATTTTAAGTGTTAACTAATATCCACATTTATTGCAGACAGATTTATAACTTTGAATTGTAGCAATCAATTCACTGGAATACATCACCACCGCACTGTTTTGTTTTGTGAGTACAAGTCACAATGGGAGAAAAATTGCAATATTAGCTGGATCTGGAAAGATAGGAATTCTCAGTGGACTGAAACTCCATGCACATCTGATAATGAAAAGACTGCTCAGAAACAAAAAAGATGCCTAACAGATTACAAAAAGGTATCATTGATAATTGAGAAAACAGAAAGTTTGGATGCAGGGAATTATCAGATTTTCATAGACTGTGGGCCAGGTGGCCACGTGCAAAAGAGTGTCCAACTTTCCATTAAAGGTAGGTAAAGAAATTCTCTTTTTTGTCAACAAAACAGTAAAAATGATTACAATATTTAAGAGAAGGCATTGAAGATGAAAACCAATACAATTGCATCAGTAAAGAAGCTACTTGCATCATTGGCCTTTTCTGAGCCAATACAGCCTCCTGTTCTTAAGGCTTGGTCAAGTACTTGTGATTCATCGCGGGTAACTGTGCATTTATAGATTTGGCAGTAATGCTTTCATGATATCGTCAGCCAGCATTCTTGGTACTTATTGCTGTCAAATGATTCTTTCTGAAAATGCACATAAGTAGACATTGGATGAGGATGTGACTGAGTGATTAAAGTTCCTGTCATCACTTACTTTTATGATTCACAAATGATAAATAGCCACTTTGGTTGAGGTACTTGAGAACTGCAGGCACATATTATCACCATGCTCCAGCATTAGTCACTGATTTTATACAAGGAGAGAAAATGCGATTGAAATTAATGATCTAAAGTTGCTCATTCAGTTCACTTAAGCAAGGCTTCAAATTTCAATAATGGCATGAGTGTGGGTCAATTCAGTCTTAATAGAAGTATTGGGAAATTAGTGTTTCTGATGCAACTTGGAAGATTGGTGTTGATTTTGTTTAATCCAGCTGTACATCAGGGACTTGGAGACAAAAGTTGAAATTTGTAAAATATATTTTTCAGCTCCATATGCTGTTCTACAAGTATCCAAAAGGATTGAAGGTGGTGACAAAGGTCTTTCTTGTTCTACACTTGGACATGCACCGGCAGAACTCCACTGGAAAAATGAAACTGGCACTATTTTGCCTGCTAATTCGAACATAACAGAAACAGAGGATAAGTTGTTCAACACCACTATTTTCATTTCAGTTTTTGGAGAATTATGCTCCATAAACTATAGCTGCTCTTTGTGCTATGAACATTCATGTATTTCTGCAAGTAAGTTTTATTTCATTTACTTCCTATTGTGTAAGTAGTCCATTAGACATATTGGAAAGAAAATATGTGGACGGAAGGGAGTCAAAATGCACTTACAAACATGTAAATTCGGAGCAGGAATAGGCTATTCAGATGCTTGAGACTGCTCCATTATCCAAAAAGGTCATGGTTGATTGATTGTAACCTCAAGTCCACATTCCTGCCTATCACTGATAACTTTCCATCCCCTTCCTTACAAGAATCTATTGAACTCTGCCTTAAAAATATTCAAGGATTTTGCTTCCACCATCTTTTTGAGAAGAGAGCTCCAAAGACTCACAACCCTCTGAGAAAAAGAAAATCACTCTATCTTTTGTTTTAATTGGGTGACACTTTGATCTTTAAAAAGAGACCAAAAGTTCTATTTAATTTTCAAAAGAACAAACATTCATAACTAAAGTGTCAAAACTCCTCAAAATCCTTCATGTTTCAATCAAGTCACCTGTTGTTGTTCTGAATTCCATTGGATACTGGCCTAGTCTGTCCAACCTTTCCTTATAAGACTACTTGCCCAGTCCAGGTAGTAGTCTGAACTTCCTTCAACTCATTTACATCCTTTCTTAATTAAGTTGAACAATGCTGTGCATGGTACTCCAGATGCAGTCTCACCAGTGACTTGACTATTTTAAGCATAACCTCTTTACTTATGTATTGAGTTCCTCTCATGATAAATGAGAACATTCTATTTGCTTTGCTAATTCCTTGCTCTATTTGCATCCTTACCTTTAGCAATTCATGCATGAGGACACCCAGATCCCTTGCATTTCAAAGTTCTGCAATTTCTCACCATTTAGATAATATGCTTCTTCTTTTTCTTTTCCTGCTAAAATGGATAATTACACATTTTCCTACATTATACTTCATTTACCACATTTTGTCCACTCCTTTGATCTGTTTGTATCTCCTTGCAGCCTCCTTATTTCCTTTTCACAAGTTACTTTCCTATTTGTCTTTGTGTTGCCAGTAAATTTGGCAACCATACCTTCTGGCTCTTCATCTAAATCATTTCTCTAAATTGTACACAAATGAAGTCCTAGCACTGATCACTGTGAAACAACATGCATTATAGCTCATCAACCTGAAAAAAAATCACTTATGCCCACTCTCTGCTTTCTGATAGCCAACCAATCTACTGTTCATGTCAGTATGCCAGTCTCAGCTTTTATTTTCCACATGTATCTTTGATGTGGTACCTTATCAAATCTCTTCTGGAAAGTTACGTGCAGTGCATCCATCAGTTCCCCTTTATGCACAACATGTTACCTCCTTAGAAAACTCCAGAGGATTGGTTTTCACAAAACCATGTTGACATCTGATTATCCTAAACTAATCCAAATGCCCTGCACTGATTTCTTTAATAATAACTTCCAATATTTACCCTGTATCAGATGTTAAACTATTTGGAGTGCAGTTCCTTACTTTCTGTTTCTTTCCTTTTTTGAATAAGGGAGTTATATTCAGCATTTCCATCTAATGGGACCATCCCTGAGTCAAGGGAGTTTTGGAAAATTAAAACTAACACATCTATGATCACTCTAGCCACTCTTTATAAGACTAGGATGAAGTCCGTTTGACGCAGGCACAAAAACAAAGTTGCTGGAAAAGCTCAGCAGGTCTGGCAGCATCTGTGAAAGCAAAAACAGAGTTAACGTTTCAGGTCCAGTGACCCTTTTTCAGCTCACAGCTCCAACAGTTTATTCAGTATGACTTCTCCGGTAATTGTGGTTTTCTGGAATTCCTCCTGTCTCCATTACCTGAATAATCACTGCTTTTGACTTGTACCCTCCACAATGAAGACTGATGCAAATTATCTATTGAATTCACCTGCCAGTTTTTTTTTCCATTATCAATTCTCGAGTCTCACTTTCTATTTGAACAATGCTGACTCTGTCAACTCTTGTTAAATATTTCCTTTATATACTTATCTTACTCTTTGTATATTTATGGCTAGTTTTCTCTCAAAATCTAATTTATCTAATTTTAATATTTCTCATTCTTTGATTTTCTTTATATTTTGTCCAACCTTCTGACCCACCACCTATAAATTGTCTTCACACAATTACATGCTTTCTCTTTCATTTAATAATCACTGATGGTGGGTACAGCCCTTGGATTTTTTCTTACTCATTGGAATATATTTATTCAGTGTATTCAGAAATGTCCCCTTAAATACCTGCCAATACTGATCTGTCCTTTAACCTAACTTGCCAATGCACTTTAGCCAGCTCTGGTTTCATGCCCTCCTAATGTTTTTTATCTTTAAGAAAAATAGTTGTACCCACTCCACTGTCCCTCAAACTGAATGTAAAATTTCAACATATTCTAACTGTGGCTACCTTGGGGCATCTTCACTCTGAGATTATTAATTACTCTATGTCATTGTATAAGGCTAGATTTGGTATAACTCATTCTCCTGAACATACTGTTACAGAATCACTGAAATGTTAGAATGCAGTAGGAGAAATTTGGCCGAATTTGGCTCCACCTGTCCAATGAGTATTATGGCTTATTGCCATTCTCCTGCCTTTTCCTTTGTACATTATCTTTATTTAAATAATTATCCACTGTCTCATTGAAAACCTTAATTGAACTTGCCTGTAACACATTTCCACGAGATGCATTCCAGATCTGAACCACTCGTGTGAAAAGTTTGTTTTTACATTAAATATGCCTCTTAAACTTGATCCTTTCACAAGCATGAACAGTTTTTCTCTATCAATTCCATCCAGCCCCCTCATGATTTTGAAAACTTCTATCAGGTCGCCTCTTCATTTTCTTCTCTCCAAGGAGGACAGTACCAACCTCTGCAATCTATTCTCATCATTGATGTTTCTCATCCCTCAAACCATTCGTGTAATTCAATTCTGTACTTTCTCCAATGTGTTTATATCCTTTCTATGTTCTACGCCCAGACTGTACACAGTACTCCAGCTGAGGTCTAACAACATCATGTCCATTATCTTTTACTCTGTGCACCTATTAAAAAAGCTGAGGAAACTGTATGCTTACTGCTCTGTCTCCCTGTCCTGCACCTTCAATGATCTGTGCACATATATACTTATGTCATGCTGTTCCTGCACCCCCTTCAGAGATGTGCATCCTATTTTAGCTGTCCATGTTCTTCCTATCAAAATATAACACTCCACACTTATCTGCATTGAACTTCATCTTCCATCTATCAGCTACATCACCCATTTGTCGATGCCGTTTTGTAGTTCAACACTAATCTCCTCACAGTTTATGATTCTTCCAATTTTTGTATCATCACAAAATTTGAAATTGTCCCTTGCATTCTAAGATCTAGATCATTAATATGTATCAGGAGAAGAAAGGTCCCAATACTAACTATTACGGGACTCCATTACAAATCTTACTCCAGCCAGAAAAATAACCATTGATCATTACTCACAGATTCCTGTCACTCGGCCAATTTTATGTCTCAATTGCTACTGTCCCCTTTATTCCATGAGCTACAGCTTTTCTCGTAATTTTTTTGTGCGGTACATTATCAAATGCCTTTTCAATAGCATCACTTTCACTGACCATTTCAATTACATCTTTAAAAAATCCCAGCATGTGTGTTTAACAATATGTTCCCTTTAGAAAACTATGTTGGCCGTTCCTAATCAGCCAACCTTTTCCAAGTGACTACTAATGTTATTCTGAATAATTCTTTCTAGACACTTCCTCACTACTGAAGTTAAACTGGTCTATTTTAGTGGGCTTATCCTTATAACTATTTTTTTTAACAAAGGCATGATGTTTGCAATTCTCCAATGTTCTGGCACCACCCAAAAGCCTGGAAGACTGAATGATTATGCCCAGTGCCCCTGCATTTTCCACTCTCACTTCCTTTGTATCCTTGCTTATTATCTTAGGAAACCATTCCAAAAATATTCTATGAACATCTTATCTAGGCTACTTTTGCCCATTTGACTTTTCCATTCTATATGTAAATTAAAATCTCCCATGATTATCAAAGTGCTCTTCTGTCAAGCTCTCATTATTGCTTACTCCCCTTCGGATATGTGGTTGCTAATGGATATTTAGATTAAGGTTTAAACTTTATTGTCACGTGTGCTCAAGTATAAAAGTACAGGAGTGCAGTGGAAAGTTTTCAATGTTGCCACAATTGGTGCTTAAGTACAAAAACATAAGAACAAGGTAGAATGAAATAAGGAACAAAGTTAAAAGTTGAACAGTAAAGTCACCCTTAGTATAGCATGTAAAGAAAAAAGCTAACGTGAAACATTACAGTCCTTCTTAGTATTAAGTTTAAAAATAAAGAAATGAAGCTAGAAGTTCAACCATTGTAGGGGGCCTGTACACCACTCCCACAAATGATTTTTCCCTTTTTGATTTCTCATTTCTACCCAAACTGTTTCCACATCAGGTAGAGTGTTATTTAACATTGCCTGTCTCTTCAAGCAGACAGCTGGGAAAAAAATCTTATGACTAATCTGAAGTAAGGAACTTCTAAGGTAAACTGGAGGTACTAGCTTCTCTGATGATCGAAGGCAGATAGTAAATGTTATAACAAATCAGCCTCACTTTAACTTAGAGTTAGCTGTTATTTTTAAATGAGATATTAAGACTGCAGAAGGAAATATAGATATGAGCAAATACTGTAAGGAATGAACTCCTGAGTTTTAAGTGAAAGCATTTCATTGAGATGGAACAGAAAACATGTTGCTTTGGTATAAACATATTCTGTATTTAGTGTGGGACTTCCCACTTTCTTACTAGCTGGAGAAAGTTGGGCAATGTTCAAGTTCCAGGCACTAACAGCTTTCACCATGAGCAACACAAAATTCAAACTCCACTTTCCCTAATTAATTCCCCTTTTGTTTATTAAGCCAAATACATGTCAAAATGAATTATTTTTCATGTACATTAATTTCATTTCAGTTGGATCTACAGAACCCATCAGATTTATGTTTTTCTGTAGTTGGAACCAGTGCTGCTTAAGAGTGCTGGAAAAATGAACACCATTTTATTCTTAATTATATAGATTTATTAATAAAAGCACTTGTGCTAAGATTCAATTGTCATTTGTAAATGCTTTGTTTAAATATAAGGAATCATTATCTGTACTCCTGAAACTCCTAAAAACATTGCATAGATCACTGTCCTAAATTTCTAAGCACTCCAGATGGCAAGAAACTCAGCTCCCTCGAATCGAGTGACTGAAGTCTCACGCTAAACCAGATAAAATCAGAAACTCAACAATTTGGCCAGGATACCGGAAGGCTCAGTGACTCTTGATCTGGTGTGGGCATGTATAGAGCAGGCTGCTCAGATTGGACACTAATAGCTAGTGATGTCAAGGGAGAAAAGAATAGGTCCCAGCTTGGAGCTAGAGCTAGTTTAAAGAGATGTCTATTTCAGTGCAGAGTAGCGGCGGAAGCTCACAGCTGCTAAGATGGAGTTTGAGATCAGTTTACTTTGCCACTAGTTTAAAACTGCCAATGACCATGTGATTTCAAAGTGACATGCAGGTTACAGGAGGATACAAACTTATTTTTAAAAGTTATATTTGTAATCTATCAGTAATAGTGAACCCAGCATCTAATATGGTACTGATGTGGTACTCAGCCATGTTTTGTCTCCTGACAAAGCTCAACAATGAATCAAACTGAACCAATACCAACACGAAAATATATTTTCTTCTCTGCTTATTAAGATATGGATATATTTGTATAATTTAGGCTACAAGAATTTTTCTACATTTCAGATCATACTTAAATTATTAAATAATTTCTGCTTCTTATTACCAGATCTTTCCCTAACTTGTCATGTTTAGCTGCCAGCTAGTCAAACTGATAAAATCCAATAGCTTCCGGTTATTTGTTTTCCTGTTTCTGAGTGCTACTTCTGACAATGTGGCCACAAGCAGCATCTAGTCATATGACAGCTATTCCATTACAGAATTAGCTGTAGTCAGCACATAGTTCACTTAACCCAGGGCACTGTGATCTCATGAATTAAGATAATTTGCTCCATTCTGTTCCCTGTGACTGGTCTTTGAATTAAAGCTTTTTGAGTGCATGATGTAAATTGTAATCAAAAGATCTCAATCATACATGTCTGATTTCAGGATTGGAGTGTCCCAACAGTACAATAGCCTCTCAGTCAAGAGAAGAAAAGATCAGAACGGCTTTTGGTATTCATTTATCTCTGGGATTAATCGTAATCCTTTTTATACTTTTGGCATTTATGGGGCTTTTTACTGTAGAAAGCAAATTCTTCAAGGTAGTATATCCATTCTGTTCAAGGAAAAAGCAAAATTGTTGTTGCTTAAGTGTCTATTTTCTTCTCAAATTTTATGTCAAAGTTTAAAGACATTATGCTAATGTTTGAAAACTGGGGTTGGAATAAATTACCCAGCTAGCCATTCCAAATCCCCACTTAGTCCCAAGCTGCCTGTAATTTATGGGTGGGGTTGGGGGTCTCAGTTGGAGGGTGGTTGGTTTGGTGGCAGGCAAGGCCTAGGGTAATCCACCCAATCTCTGGCCACTTCAGGGTTGTTGCTGGCCTGACGTTAGAGGAGGTTGTGGCATGGATGATGGATGACAGGTAAGCCTGCTTGGGTCTTAGGTGGAAAAATAGGGTGGAGGATGCAACTCCCTCACTGGGCCCTATCTCACATTAAGCACACACCAGCAAATGGAGCTTTGTTTGATTTTCACCTACCTTAGCTGAAAAGCACTGCATTGTAACTGCAATGTCCCCAGTAGCTGCTCAGGCAGAGATTAGTTGATCTAATTTAAACCATTACATTTGATCACCAGGTTTTTATTCCTCTATCCTTGACATTGGAATTGATCATCAGAGATGTCTACTCATCTTATTAAAGCTTTCAGGAGCTACAGAGAACTAATTTTATTTGATTACATATTATTTCCCAAGCCATGTTTAGCACAGTGGTTGGCACAGCTACCTCACAGCAGGTTTGATTCCAATGTTGTGTGACTGACTGTGTGGAGTTTGCACATTCTCCCTCTATCTCGGTGAGGTTCTGCCAAGTTATTTGGTTTTTATCCAACAGTAAAAAGATGTGCCATTTCGTTGGATTGGCCATGCTAAAAGAATTGCCCCGTAGGGTCTAGGGATCTGCAGGTTAGGTGGATTAGCCATGGGAGATGCAGGGTAATGGGGATAGATTGAGGGGATGGATCTGGTTGGGATGCTCTTTGGAGGGTCGCTGAGGACTCAATGGGCTGAATGGCCTTTCCCCCGTAGGGTTATCATGATTTGATGACATAAAGCTAAAAAAAACTCAATAAACACGAATAAAACAGCTCTGTTAGAGCTTTATCTGTTTGGACCATTACTTGTTATTTAATGTTGTTTATGATTGCAAAACTATTGCTATTGTAAGTTACCTGAATCCTAATGTCTTCATTTTCTCTGAAGCATTAATTCGAGAACGAAAAGAATCAGCATCAATTAATTTAGTAGGTATGCAACTTTTTATGGATATATAAGTTGAAATAAGAAGGACTGCTTTACCTTTTATTAATGAACTTTATTTCCAACAGAGAACACAGAATGAAGGAGGCCTGGAATGACATTGATCTTATTAATCAACTTTTACACTAAACGTAATCTGTATGAAAACATTGTATCAAATGATGTAAAAACACTGGGTAGAAATTGCTTTTTGCTTTTTGTGAGGTTTAAGCCAATTTAGTAAATTAGTCTAAATAGAAGTATTGGCACTGAGCACTAAAATGAATTGGAAATCATTGAATTGAAAGGACTTACCTTCATTGCTCAGAAGTTATGCAGGATGTTAGTAAGGCCACTTTTGGAGTATTGTGTCCAGTTCTGATCATGCTCTTATCGGAGGGATATTATTAAGCTGGAGAGGGTTCAGAAGAGATTTACAAAGATGCTGCTGGGAATGGAGGGTTTGAGTTATAAGGAGAGGCTGGTCAGGCTGGGACTTCTTTCATTGGAGCACAGGAGGTTGAAGGGTGACCTTATAGAGGTTTATAAAATTGAAGGATATAGATAAGGTGAATGGCAGTTGTCTTTCTGCTCGGGTGGGGGATTTCAAGACGAGGAGGTATATTTTTAAGGTGAGTGAAGAAAGATTAAAAAAACAAGACATGAGGGGCAACATTTTTTCTACAGAGTGGTTCATCCGTGGAATGAGTGTCCAGAGGATGTTGTGGATGTAGGTACAGTTACAATGCTTTAAAGACATTTAGATAAGTACATAAATAAGAAATCCTTGAAGGGGTATGGGCCAAGCACAGGCAGATGGGACTAGTTTAGTTTGGGATTATGGTTGGCGTGGACTGGTTGGACTGAAGGATCTCTTTCCATGCTGTATGACTCCATGACTGATAGCTAAATTCAACTTGTTTCTAAAAGGCATGCTTGAATACTGTAATCATGAAAAATACGAAAATAATTTTTCACATGAACACTGAGAAAAGAGGTCTGATGATTATAATCACAATACAATTGTAACCATATTTAGTGAAAACCACAGTCCTTGTTACTTGCATGGTCAGAATTCTTGGAATTGTGGTGGAGTTTTCATGACAAAAATAGTTGTGATGATACATAAAATAATTTTTTTGCAATAATCCAAAACCATGTTCAGTACTTTCTATTATAAATTCAGACTAAGTGTTTTTTTATTCTCAGAAAACCAGATTGGAAGCAGTTTATGTTAGTTTTCCGTTGCAAACCTCAGTCCAGTAGTCTTGGAATTCAATTGTTCAAATCTTCTGATCTGTGTTAGAATCCCTATTTCCGACCCAGATAAAATAAAATGTTGCCCACCTGTAAATACTGTATCTATTTTTCTGAATGTTTGGTTGTGAAATGAAATGGGAAAAAGACTTTTAAAACCAAGGATGTGGAAGAGACCATGGCACTTTTTGAATGGAAGTTACCGAAACACATTCTAAGTGGTGTTCACACTACTGCATTATTCAAGCAATGGAGGAGGCAGAGAGGCTGGCCCCAGGAAACGTGTACACATAAGATTTAGCCAGAAATAAGCAGCTGATTGGTTCGAGGAGTTGTCACCAGTTGTGGATTACAAAGGCCATCTGCCTGCGAACAACTCTATGATTGGCACCTGGGTAGCTGAACAGGTTTTGGGTATGGCAGTATTGCCAGAAATCTTGTATACCCTGAAATCTGAAGAAAGCAAGTTTATTTTCCATCACCAGTTCCTGTAAACTGTTGCTTTGAACCAATAAATTTTATAATCTGTAAACAAGTTTCTACGTTCCACTCACAAGGAAATGAAAAGTACCTGGAGAAGAAAGATTGAAGAATTGCAAATCCAGCCCAGCAATTGCATCATCTTGTGGATAGAGGCCATTGAACACCCCCTGATACATGACACCAATTTTTCTTTGCCTGTATGTAGAGGTAGTTTTATAAGGGGGTTCGAGTTTTAACTAGTAGAGTTATATGTCACAGTTCATAATTGTATACCTGCAGCTACAGTCTGTATTTTTTAATAAATAGTAATTCATATTAAGTACAGAATCCTGGTTCATGTTTTCTGTTCATCTGGGTCTAAAAGGACAGGTAAATAGGAATTTTGGGTACTTTGATGAAATTTTTAATTTTTGCAATGATTCTGGGTATAGCGGGGCTGGATTCCAGTAAATCATGACATACCAACCTCCAGAGGAGTTTTCAGGACAAAATTTGAGACAAGAACCTTCCCAACTAAAGTGTTGCAGACCAGTCCAGTTCAGCAAATCCACACAAGTATCAGAGTGGATTGACGCTGAAACTACACCCTTTTTCACAGCACTAACTGTTGTATTCCATGGTTTGAAATTCCTAAAGCCAGTTTGATGACTGAGAGAAAGTAAATGTGTACAATAAGCAAGGGGATAGGGTGTAAGTATGAAACTATGAGTGGTGCAGCCAGCATGTGGATAGGGGAATAATGTTGCAGGTTTATGGCTGCTATCAGTACCAGATGGGTAGGAGTAGGGTCTGAGATAGCTGAGGCATTCAGATGCAATGGTGGGTGTTGGGTGGTTGTGATCTGAGAGGTGGATGTTGGGGGGATCTATTGGGTCTTGGGAGGAATCAGGGTTCAGCTAGGGTTGGGGCTTCAGGCTTCCATGTGAATCAGCAGGAATTGGAATCATAATGAGGTGCAGAGCTCAAGTCCAGGTGGTGGCGGGTGTTGGTTTCTGGGTGTTGATGGACCCAGGAGGATGGGTCAGGAATCTGGGGACAGTTGGGGAGAGGCAATCCAGCAGTGTCCATGATGTGCTGGATGTATCAATTTTAGCATTAGCTAGGAGTGACAGCCCATATTAATCTCCACATTTTTCCTGGCTGACAATTAATCCTCCAAAGTCTCTGACTCTGACTCCAGATGTTGGTAATTGACATGAAAAATTTCAATGTCCTGAGCAATTTCCACAATTGCACCTGTCGGAAGATCTGTGCAACAATGACAATTTGGGAGTAAGCAATGACTGAAATTTTATTGTCTGATCATCCACACTATTGGAAGCTTCACTGGAGCAGGCTTGGCATTTCTTCCAGGTTATTGATATAAATACTGAGAAGCTGAAGCTTTGGTACATATTCCTGGAGTAAACGACCAGTCATGTCTTGCCAAACATAAAGTATTCTCTGCAAACCTATAGTTTATCAACTATCCCTGATCAATCACTAACCATTGTTACAATGTGGCATCTAAGTTTACGCCCTTCCAACTTTGCTGATACTTCTGTGTGTAATCATCAACTACTTTCTGGAAGTTCATGTGACAATATTAATGGATACTTCTCTACCTGTCATGGCAGTGACTTCCTCAAAACATCTGACTGTTCAGCCACTGTCACTAATGACAATGACAAGTTCACAATATTTCATGTTAAACTGATAGCTTCAGATTTTTCTTTACTTGAACGTTAATTGCTTCTTAACTATTGGAGTGATACGTGCTGCTTTACAATCCATCCAGCTACTGCTGAACCTAGACACTTTGGAAAAATTATGATGGAGATATTTGATTTTTTTTCTTACCGATTTCATTTATGTTATTCACAGGTGGGTTGGCCCAGATTTCTAATTGGTCCCCATAAAAGTGAAGATACTCCATTGTGAGTTTACTTACCCCTCACCCCTACCTGCTGCCATGGTGAGCTGGAATATTGTGGGGTTGGGGTAGGCCTATGTCAGGGAGCTTGCATGATGATGACACCTCAGCCTAATGCATGTGGTCATGTCTGTAAGGCAGTGTGCAGTTGTACAGGGAGTCAAAGGAGTGTGTACAATGTGCATCTGTGGGGCAGAGAAAGTTTGAGTTCAGGTGCAGGTATGTGTGCAGGAAGGGTGTTAATGTGATATGTCTTGCTAGTGTGTCCAGTGTGCATTGTGTGTGTATAGGGTATGGATCAGTATGAAATCCAGGTGTGTGTGGTTGTGAGTGTGTTTGGGTTTTGGGTGTGTATGGAATGAAGAGATGTGTTTGGAATGCAGGTGTATTTGGGATAAAGGTATGTGATTGGGGTGTGACCATGTTTGGGTGAAGGTGTGTGTGTGTGTTGTGGGTGTGTTTAGAGTACATGTGATTGTGGGGTGAAAGAGTGGGGTGTAGGTACAATTGGGGTGTAAGTGTGGGTGTGTATGGGGTGAAAGATAATATAGCTTTATTCACCTGTAACAGGGACATAGCCCAGTGCACTCGATACACAGCAAGTCCCAGAGAAGGTAAAGATGATCAAGCCTTCAAAGCTTGCTGTAGAGGACAGTGGAGTGACTGCAGGGGCAATTAGAGTGAAAACAGCAGACAGCGGAGTTTGAGAAAGGCCCAGTGAAGAGCAGGAAGCTCATGCATTTTCCCTACATTGTGTCAACATTTCCTGTTAGCTGAACTTACTTTTACTTTATTTGTTAAATTAGCACTGACAAGGCTATTGCTTTGCGTGACTGTGCACAAGCTCAATAATAAATAAACAAATAGATTATTTGTTGATGATGGTTGATTGACTCCAGCAGGGGAGCTTTTACTCACATGAAGATGTTTTAGAGATGTTAAATTATCTGCAAGTTTATCCTTTAACATTTCAGGCATGTTTACTGTGGCCAATTTACTTCTCTCTTCCCTGAGTTTGCCTTCTTTCAAAACTCTATCTTGTGAACTCTACATTTTTTTCCCTTTCAAACTTATATAAAATTCCATCATTCATGGTTTTCTATACATGATGCACACTTTCTGTCAAATTGGTAGTTAATTCTGGCTCATTACTCATCATTAAATATATTTTTTTGGTTCTGAAGTGTATTGAACCTATACTTCCTACCAGAGATTTGCATCCTCTGTAGCTCCTTAATTCTCTTTATATACTGTTTCACTGCTTTATCATCATTGCTGAACTTCTTTCTTCCTATTTGCTGACTGTATCCTTTAGTCATGTTGCTGAGGAATTTATTCAGTTTGTTATCACAGCAAGGTATGACAGGATCACACAGGTTTATTGGCCTGCTCTTATTGCAGAGAATCAAACACTAAATTTATTTTAACCTTTTCTAACCAACCTGTTTAGGGATGGTTTTGCACACCTCCGGAGCAGGTGGGAATTGAACCCAGATCTCCTGAAGAAAGAAACCATTGATATTTGAACTCAGGGTTTTCTGTTTCTAGACAGGTACATTAACCTATTAGGACATGGCACCCAGCTGAATGTCCAGATTCATTGCATGTCAGTGCCAGATTTCCTGTAAGTCACCTCAATGTATAAACCCAATGTAATATAACCCTTCTTGATCCCCTCAAAACACTAATTTATGTCAATGTGTAAGTTGTGGATGGAAGAGCTCAACGAATAATGACCCAGCTCAGCTCTGCAAAAGCTCTGCTACAGAGACACACTGCAGCAAAGTTATCAGCCTTGTCCATCTGCACACTGACAAAGAAAATTTTGAGAAGATTTTATTCAGGATGAAACATCAATTCAGATAACACACTTCCGTCAAAAGTGTTGTTTGTTGTAAAGTGCTGTTTGCTGCGTATACTCCAATTCTGTTCTTCATCAAATTATATAGCCTGAACAAGTGAAAGCAGTTCTTTAATTACAAAGAAGTGGGTCTACTCATGCTCAATGACATGTTTCTAGGATGGAAGCCAAGAGCTTGGACATAATCTGCTCACCAAAAGGATATTAAATTACATACAATTATTATCTCAACTTTTATTACAGTTGTTATGTCCACTCTGTCAACACCAAAGTATTGTTGACATTTTTCACTTGTAATTCCAAAGTGTGTGCTTTTTAAAAAAGGGCAAGTGGATGTACATCGAGTATATGTCTGGAGTGATGAGTCCATGGAAAGTCACACCTATAGATGTGAAAGGAACTTCGAATGACAATCCTCCAAAGTGGTAGAGAGAGCTAAGTCAAGGCAGACAGGACTGCAATCTTTTGTTAACTACAAAGATAACAAGGGGCTGATAACTTCCTGGTCAAATACAAGCCACCCCCTGCAGATTATGTCGCAAACAGCAGACACATTTTGTGTGAACGATCGTAAGAATGGCCGATGCTGGAGTCAGAGATAACAGAGTGGGGAGCTGGAGGAACACAGCAGGCCAGGCAGCATCAGAGGAGCAGGAAAGCTGACGTTTCGGGTCGGGACACTTTTTCAGCTTTCCCGCTCCTCTGATGCAGCCTGGCCGACATATTTTGTGTTTCGCCTTTGACGAATGCAGAAAGAAAGGGTTATAAAAACTTGCTTCGGCTCTACTGGAGTGTGGTAGTGAATGAATATTTTCATATCTGTCAGTCTGGGTTCGAGGGT